AAAAAACCTGGGTCTTCTGAAACCAAAACCAAAGTAAACCACCCCTCCTCCAAAAAAAAAACGCGAAAATTGATCTGCGCGCCGCGAATAAACGCGCCCCTCTTCGCGCGCAAAATAAAAAAGAGTGGAAAAAGAGAACGCGGAGAAAAACCCCCTGGAAAGTTCCGCGAAGCGAAACACCAGAGTTCTCTTCCTCTTTTGATCCGACGGGCGTCGCGACGAGCGCCTCGACGACTCTTATTCAATTAATTCGTAACTGCTCCTCGGCGACAAAAATGCCGCCCCCGGTACATGCTCAGTCGTCCTCTTCACTCTCGAGGGCAAAAAATAAAAGAGGGGAAAAGGGAAAAAAATTCACGAGGGAGAGGCACACCGTTAAGAAATCCCCGGTTTGAAAGGTCGCACAAGCCCCTTTCTTCCTCCGCTGCTAACTCAGCGCAAAAAAAAAAAGAAAAAAACCAAATCTCCACTCTTCTACCCCATTTTTCTCAATTCTTTCCTCTAAATTGTAAGATATTTTTTCTTGTTTCAAAAGCAGACGTATTGATTCGATGATTTTTCGGGTACGCGGTATACATTCCCCTGGCATTTGGAATATAAGGAGAAGTGGAGGAGAGACTCTTACGGCGAATCGGCAATTCACTCGACTGTGAAATTTCCTCTTCAAACAGAAAACGCCCGCGAGGGGTATACGCATTTAGAGTGAGTAAAATTCCGTCTTGGAGATGTACACACGTATAAACGAGGGGGTGGAGAATTCTTGGGTTAAAAAACTTCTCACCTTTCTACCCGGCAACCAAGTGGGATACGTGAGAAAAAGAATGGAAGGAGTCAAAAATAAAATGTTCAAACGTGTCTGAGAGCTTGGAGGGGACAGGAATCTGGTGCTTCTTCTCGGGGTGTCGGTAAACAGTAATTTTCCTGATATATACGTCATCTTGCGTCAATCCCCCGGTATTTCACCCTCGCTTGTGTCTCATCTACCCACGTCCGACGGCATCTTTCATCCGGGGGAAAAAGTCGCGTGAGGCATCAACGGCTTTCACCCCTTTTTCCTTCCGCATTGTTGTACCCTCATGCGTCTCTCATTTATTATAATTCTTGGAAACACATCGGCAGAATGCATCTTTCAAAACACCTCGCAGATGATGGGAAAGGCTCTTTGATTCTCCCCGCCAACCTTCCAATTGTTCAAATTTCATTTTTCGGTTGTCAATTTAAAACATGTCGTAATTATTCACCAATACCTTTTTTTACCCCGGGTAAAAAAAAATTGTAGTCGGAATATTTTTTCCAAATATTCTAAATTTCAGGAAAACTTTTCAGAATTTTTTTTTTTTTGAAACAACAAAAACCGGAAAATAAAATCATTTTGCTTCACGATTTTTTTTTTGTTTTCCGAAATTTTCCGAAAAGTTTTCGAGAAATGTCATCATCTGTTTTGCAGATGTTTTGAGATTTACCATTGATAATCCATTTTATTCCAGGAATTAAACGGGAAAAAATAAATTAGAAATTATCATTTTCTTATTCTTGGGATTTGAAGAATCCATTTTCGTCATATATCGGACAGCCGAAAAGGAATCGAGTTGAATAAATATTGTGACAAATCACGGGTTCGAGCAACTGTCGACCTAATTTTCCCCTAAACGTTTTCATCGTCGAGATTACATCGGTCGCTCATTGTACATGAGGGATTTCAATGGAACCCCATAAGCTCCTTTGCCACAGGGAAATCCTCTCCCTGGCGATGTTTTTACGCGGAAGTGATACGTATCTTCACTGTTTTTATTTAACCACCGCTGATTAAAGATTTAAATTTCGCCTACCGCACGCCCCGAAATCTCAGGGCCAATTTCTGCACCGAATGATCGAGGTGGATGAAAAAATTATTCCATTTCGCCTTGAAAAGACCACTCCAAGGCTCTTCACCCGATCCTCACCCCCGCACCTGCTCCAGGGGACATATTCATCTCAGGATAATTTCATTGATGGCAAAGACTTAATGGACAAAATTAATGTGACAATTTAATCATCCTCCTGAATATTCAGGAATTATTCGTGAATATATAAATAACGTTTGTGCTTAGGTTGTAGTAAACATTACAGTCTTATCGATTCATTGGGAAACCCCGTGGAAATAATGAAATTTTTGTAAGAACCTTTTTTGTAGCCCTTACTCCACCCTTCAAAATAAGTATCAATGAAAATTTCGGTATGTCAATTACCTTCAGAGTTATTCCTGAAAAACCCAATGAGTGACAGTGTTGACTTGTAAAAAATTCATTTGGACCATAAACGAGTCTCCGCTAAATATCTCGGAGCTTGAGAGAGATACGTAATTTTTTGTTAATATCTTTTTTGTAGTACTTTTCCCACCCCATCAAAGAGGTGGTATGAAAAATTTTGGTATCTCGACTAGATTGCGAGTTATGGATGAAAAAAAGGTGTGCTGAATTTTGAAAGTTGAAAAATAGGAGCATTCCGTGACTTGGTAAAGTTATTTCCCATGATCATCTCGATACGGAGTTCTAATTACTTGCTAAACGTTCCCCCGCGGTGCTTTAGGTCGCCCCTCAGTCTCGATGGTCCTAGCCCTTGGGTCTCATGGGAACTCTACGAAAAACCCGTGGCGAGACCACAATGACATTTACCAGTACCTCGTGGTATTATTCTGAGGCTCACCTTTAGCGATCGCAACGATATTGTGCTGCTATTAAACAACCTGGCTAACCCCCAGTGAATTCCTTTCTCTTTTCATTCTTTATTTTTTTTTCCTCGAACCGAATAATCACGAAATTCACAAGATTCAGGGAAAATATTGCGCAATATTGTCCCCCCAGCAAAGGATTACCACTGAACACATGTCGTTATTGTTCGACTAAAAGTGATTTACTTTTTTTTATACATCCTAGAAAAAGATAAAAAACGAATGAAGAAGTAGGGCAATTTGACGATTTATTCACGGAAATAAGTACTTTTTGCAGCTGTAGAGCGCGGGATCAGGGTCTTATTATTTAAAAAACGCATTTTCGGGGAAGAGGCTCCTGCGGCATATCTTGTCTTTTCCCTTTTCCATCTTGAATTTTTTTTAGAGATTCAGGGGAATATCTGACAGTTATTCTCATGAGACTGATATTAAATCGGATTTAGGGGAAAGCCGTCATAAAAATTCAAATTTACCATCAGAATTTCACAAGAAAAAAAAACATTGGATTTTTCAATGACTGCATTTGTCCCATAATTTCAGAAAACTCAAATTTTCTATAATTTTTATAATGTCCGACAACCCTTGAATTAAAAAATCGCGAATTCTATTCCCATGAATATTCTCTTTGTAACTGAATTTTTCCCGGGATTTCCAAGTATTTTCAAGTTCAATAAAAAATATAGTGATAAATTTTCATTGAAATTGAATTTGGACTCGATTAAAAATTCATCAGACTTCATAATTGAAATTTCAAATAATTAATAAAGTATTGCCTCGAGAAATACATCAATCCGATGAATCCCGAAAGCAACCAATATTCAATACTTCGGAAATATTGGGGATAAGAAAGATGGTGCCGGTGGTGAGTAAATTCCTGAAGATCTGGTGAGTAGGGGAGATGATGGGATGGTGATTTTGGATGGTGATGGGAACGTCGATGTGGCTCGTCTGTATGGAGGATTTTGGAACACGGGGCCAGGCTGTAGACAGACCTTTTCCACGTAGCGCACTCGGAGAAGCGGCTCTGACAGATCCATTGGCGCGGAATAACGCGTTTACGAGGCTCTTTGTCCAGTGGCCGCTTTGGACCACGTCCGCCTCGTGCTCCTCTCGCTCAGCCCACGGTTATAACCAGAAAACCCCATGGCACGCCAACTCCCGGAGCTAAACCTCTGTCTATGGGATGGATCCGCCTGTCTACCTCCTTGCACAAGCTACCTCAACGCTCGATCCTTCACCCAACGGCTAATTGGATAATTCAATTCGGAAGGATAAGGTGCCAGGCCTCCGGCTA